AAATGGTTTACTTAATAAAATTTTGAGAAAATAGCAATTGTTTTTAAGAAAAATTTGGTACAAGTGATCGTTGGGAATAGTTAGTGATTTGCGTTCTATTACTAATTTAATATTACATTGTATAATATACTTTTTATATAAAATAAATAAATTGTTGCCTTTTATAGTTGTTACAATTAAATAAATTATTACTACAAATGGTTTATAAAAAAAACAACTGAATAAAGGTAAATGAAAAGCCAACACAAGTAACAAAGAGGCTAATAAAAACAAACAATTAAAAAAGGGTAAACAAAAAGTTAATAATGCAAGTGACGAAGAAAGCTTCAACCAGTCTGTGACAGATGTTGAAGTCAACAGAAATAAGCAAGATTCGGATACTGATAATAAAGACTTTTCAACAAATAATTAAATTTCAGCTTTGCTTAAAAGATTGGAAACTTTGAAAAAGCTTCAGGCTGTCTGTAATGAGAAGACAAAAAATCGAAAATTCGATGCCAATTCTGATGATACTGATAATGATGCATCCAAAAAAAAGAAGAAATAAAAATACTAAAAAAAAGAAAACTACAAAAAAAAATTAAAAATACATCTAGTTTAGAATCAGTAAGCACTTGCAATAAGGTTTCTATCGTATATATATATTTCTCAATCTTTGACTAATATCATTATTATACTGTATAATTCACAAAGAAATTGTTTTGCAAAAAAGTTAGTTCAAATTGAAAAGTTACATGATACGTCATATATTGATATTCCTAAAGTTCTTTAGCTGGACAAAGCTATATACAATAGTTATCAGGTAGCAAAATTATTGTCATTATTACTGTAGTTTTTTTTATTATTATTTTATTTTGTTAACAGCTATTTTAGGAATCACTTCATTTAATGGTGACAGCTAAATATGAAAAGAAATTCTCGAGTTTCGAAGAATACCAGAGAATGAAAAAAATGAATTTATTAAAAGGGCAAATATAATTTAATTTTAATTGCTCTTTCTAATTGCTTTTAAATAATTAAATGAATTTTTTATTTAGTTCAAATACAGGAATCTAAGGTTTTCTTCTACTGCTTGTGATTGGGCTATTAGACAAATAACGTGAGAGATTATTAATAATAAATGTATGTATATATGTAACATCACATAATATAAAGTATATAAAACTAATCGATTCATTCTCTTAATAGAAGAAATTGAAAAGTGTAATAAGAGAATTCGTTTATCTCATCATAGTAAGAAAAGAAAAATGGGTAAAAAAAATAAAATAAAATTGTTAATTCCTATAATCAATATTTCTCTTTAATAAATTAAGATCTATCTGCTGAAATGAGCAATACATACAATTATCCTCGTGGGTTTCTACTTATTTAACATCAAATGAAACCCTTGAAGAATCCGTATATATACTAAAATATTAAGTATTTTATGTAAAGAAAAAATAATTTTTTTATGTTATTTTATTTAGACTGTCAATAAAGATCAATTCTTAGAAGATGTTGAAGCACACTAAATAATACAAATAATTTTCACTTAACATCTTCATTCCGTACTACTCCATTAACTGCCCTTCAATATCAGAATACCAATCACATAACTCAAAATATAAGTCAAAATAGTATAATTGAACCATCAAGTAGATCTAATAGAAGGTCCCAAAATTCTGACCGCAACCTACATAACTGTACTCTCAGATATATTAACCTATTGAATTTTTGAAACACACTAATAAATACGAATAATTATAATATCACATAAATAGAACATCTACACAAACTGAAAAAAGTAATATGCCAACTAAAGGACGATCTTTAAAAATGCCTAGTAAAGTGAAAACTAATGGTATGAGATATTTATATATATTTATGGATATTTAATAAATTGAAACTAATTATAATTTTATTGACAGGAAAAGCAAAGAAAGATACATAGATCATATAATTGTCAGAGATTTGTTTAAATTAATTCACTTAAAAGCTGAAGAAGTTTTAAGAAGAGTTAACCCAGTAATTATCTCGAATTATCACCCTCGATATAATTATATAGGAATTTTGATTGGCTATAAAATGTAAACAAATGTCAGATGATCCATGTGATTAGAGTGGATGTTCTATAGAATGGGTGGGCAAACTCTGCAAACTCCACAACTTCGATATTAAAAATAATCATTAGCGAAGCTTATTTTTTATATTGCCCACCTATTCTATAGAATATCCATTAGAGTATATATTATATCTTCAGGAGAATTATATCAACACAACTTTGCACAGCAAAATGGCCGCATTAAGCTAATCAATACAGCATGCCTGGCGTTAGAGTTAGGTTAGTATTAGGGTATTGGCAGAATTAGTCACATGCTTCTGTGTTGGTATAATTAGGTTATATATATAGAGGAGATAAAATTAACCGAAATAATAGTGATACCTGATGTTACACAGTATATGTAATTGATATCACCTGATATTTTGTTTATATTTTTTGGCCAATAAAAATTTTTATATGATTATATCGAGATTATAATTCATGATAATCACTGGGTTAACTCTTCTTAAAGTGTCCCAAAAGCTGTTCAAATTTTCGTCGGCAATATGCATAAATAAAGTTAGGCAATAACTTATTAATATTTCAATTGTGTATCGTTTGCATACGTAATATATTATTTATATAAAATTGAATAAAATATATATCCTTTCGCAATAATGATAAAACATACATTGAACATAATCAACTTGTGATACATACATTAATTGCACAATACCATGACATTAGTAAGTCAAAAATTCAATAAAAAAAATCATATACATGTACAAAATTTTACAAATTAATGTTCGGAATTTTGTTCAAAAAATCGACTCCATTTCGAACATTTTTTTAAACAAAAATTGAACATAATATTGAACATACAACTGAACAAATTTAGAATATTTATTAGATGAACTTTTTTTATAGGGACTTCTTATTAATTCATTTCTGTATTCATTGAAGCAATGTCTGCAATATTACTTGTTATCACTTTCATTAAGCTCATCCCAGAAGGGATCAGTTTTAAATTGTTTTGAGAGGCGGTTTGTTGTGTATGCTGTGATAATGATGAAATCGATGTGGTGGTGAATTCATTTATATTATTAGGCTGTTCAAGTGTGCTTTCTTCATTTATCATATGCAAATAAAAGGAAAAACAATGTTACGTATTTATAGCAATTGAAAATATTTCTACAAGAAGATACATATTTAACTTAATTAAAAAATAATATCTGATATGAAAACTCATTTACGTAATTTACGTCATGAAAATTAACTTATAATTTTAAAAAATTAAATTACAAATCATGAAATATTTGGTTTAGAAATCGATTTCGAACCCGATTTGAGCACTATGAGCAGTATTGAATTTAAAAGTTCCTAATTAAAATCATGTGATTACAGAAACACATGTTTAACGCGCTTGGGTTGCAAAAAGGCACAGGATAACATCCTAATTTACAGCATAATAATTTTCTAATACTTTACAACATTATAACCCTGAATATTATGACTGACTTTAAGATTATGACCTGAACTTACAGAAAGAATGTTGTAATCTAAAATATTATAATGATCTAACATTACGATTTAACTATTTTTTTAGTTGAATTGATTGTTTGATGTGTAAAACTAGGAAAACGGAATCCGTTGGGTTCCGGAGCGCCGCTTTGTATTTGCAAACAAATCTAATTATTTGCAAGATATTAATAAAAATTCTTA